GAACTAGGATCATGTCACTGTACTCCAGCCTGGGCAATAGAGTGAGATCCTGTCTCAAAAAAAAACCCCGAAAACAAAACAAAACAAAAAAACATTCATCAAGTACCTCCTTTGTATTATGTACTCTTCATATGAAATTAATTCCAAGAGTATCAACATCCTCCTCCCACTCCACCAAGAGTCCATACACCTTTGGACTCCACTTTCTTTCATTGTAGAAACTCAGTTCTCATGGGTAGCAATCTAAGCTATTAGAAATAATTAACAAAAACAAGTATTAAATAGGATCTTGATAGATGCTGGGCATTTATCAATATTATTTCACAGAATGCTAATAATTTCAACTCTTGGTGAATGCCGGTAATACCCTCATTGATAATATGAGCCAGCAGCTCACCTTACCCAAGAGTGGGTAAGGATCTTGCATTGGTGAGTCATGTGCATGAAAATTAAAGGACTGTCTAATTTCAGACCCTGTGTCTAGTCTCCTCTACTTATCAGACCAATTTGGCATTTCTTAACCTTGGTTTCCTCAATCCGCGTGGATCAAAGTGTCACCCTTTTTAGTATTTCTCCATCCCCTTATTTCTCAATTCCTTACCCTCAAATGCCTCACTTCTTCCTCAGAACTGCAAACAGCATGCCCTATGTCTGATCTAATCTCCAGCAGCGATGCCCTGCTGCTAACTTCTTCCTCTTGCTGGTGAATAGACTGTTTTCCTGTTGTGCTAGCTAAGTTAATGTCATCCTTTGGGGTAGAGGTTAACTATCTTGTCTGTTTTCTAAGTAATAAATCTGAAATTAACACTGACATCATGGAAACATTGTGCTCTTTCAATAGGAAGGAGTTAGATTCTAGAAATTTCAGACATCATGGCAGGAAAGCGAGGTAGGGAAAGAGGAGTCCAGAGTTGTTCCAGATGTTAGAAGCCCCCATCCGCTTGAGTTCTTTTGCCTTTTAAGCTTCAGAAACCACTGTGCTACAGAATTGCATATCTGTGGCTCCCTTTTCCTGCACCTTGCTTCCATCCTCTCTCCCTGCAGACTGACTTCCCACAGTTGATGGGCAGGGCAGAGCCACCCCAAAGGGGTCTCACGGGTCCATTCTCCAAGCCTCTTACTTCAAATGCTTAAGAAAGAAAATCTGGTTGGCTGGGGAAGTAAAATTGGTTGACTGACTCCTTATAGGTCGGGGGTCTTCACTGGGGCAACTGGCTATAGTCAGTGAGATGAAGCCATATGGCACCATTTAGGCCAAACAGAAAGCTGTCATGGGAGAATCCTGATATGCCAGTGATGCCATCTCCTAAAGGTAGACAAAGGTAGGTTGTCTGTCTTTTCTGTAAGTGTAAATGAAAGAAGGGCTGGATATAAGAAAAACTACCAAGCTAGATAGCAGCTGTGGAAAACCTAGGAACTAAATGAGGAACAGGAAGGACTAATTAGCAAGCTTATCACAAACCATAATATTTATTGAGTACTGGCTGGGCGCGGTGGCTCACGCCTATAATCCCAGGACTTTGGGAGGCTGAGGCAGGTAGATCACAAGGTCAAAAGATCAAGACCATCCTGGTCAACAAGGTGAAACCCCGTCTCTACTAAAAATACAAAAATTAGCTGGGCATGGTGGCACGTGCCTGTAGTCCCAGCTACTAGGGAGGCTGAGGCAGAATTGCTTGAACCCAGGAGGCGGAGGTTGTGGTGAGCCGAGATCGCGCCATTGCACTCCAGCCTGGGTAACAGGAGTGAAACTCCACCTCAAAAAAATATATATTTATTAAGTATCCACTATATGTTAGGCATTGTTCTAGAGACTGGAAATACAGCAGTGAGTAAAACAGACAAAGCCTGTCATGAATATGCCCTTGCAGAGTTTATATTTCCATGGGGGTAACAGAAAAAGTCTCTCTCTCTCTCTCTCTCTCTCTCTCTCTCTCTCTCACACACACACACACACACACACACACACGCACACACTCATTAGCACTCCCAGCCAGCTGCCATCAACAATCCCACTCCATTATATGAAACACAATATATGCTTGTGTGAAGAAACAAAACATTATGTTATGTTCTAAAGTCAGGAATTCACCATTATTCAATTTTTTAATACAAATTTCTAGAAGGCATTTCCCATAAATCTTCCAAGAAGTCTAGGCAGAAGACATGCAGAGAAATCAAATTATTTTCAACGGCGGGGCGGGGGGTTGGGGGAGCATTATTCTCAGGGATTTGCCATGATTGAAACCATTGGTTCCGCTTCATCCTCACGTTGTGTGACCTTGTCGTATATGTTGCTTAACTGCATGAAGCTGTTGTGAGGTTTAAATAAGGGAATGCACACAAAGCATTTAGTTACTGCTAATATTAACTACACTTGTAGTGAATACCTAGTAATCTGTAGTTGTTATTGCTTTGATTCCCTGCAGAGTCATGACATTTAAAGCCATTGCTCAGCTATTTATCCTGGGCTGTTCTTGGGGCCTTGGCTTTTTTATGGTTGAAGAAGTAGGGAAGATGATTGGATCAATCATTGCATACTCATTCACCATCACCAACGTCCTTCAAGGAGTGTTGCTCTTTGTGGTACACTGTCTCCTGAATCGCCAGGTAAGGGTAATTATTTTGCCTGTCATCAGCCTAGTCCCAAAGTCTAATTGAATGGTTGTTCACATTCTCACTCTTCCCTGACCTTTTATAATTGTATTTTGGGGTTGCCTTGATTTGGGGATGAGGGTTTATGTGCTGCTGGGGTATGCTGTGGGTTTAATCTGTTTAGTGTTGTAACATATCTCTAAAGAGCATGGATCAGTCAGGATAAGGTGGATTATGCGGCAATAACAAATAGCCCCTTGCCTCCCACACTCAATCTTAGCAACTCACAACAATAAATGTTTATTTCTTGCTTGTGCTACATAACTGTGACTTAACCTACATCATCTTTCCTCTGGGATGCAGGCTGAAGGTGTGGCCCCCTCTTTAGAACACTGAAGGTTTCATGGCACGGGAAAGGGAGACTGTGGGAAAGCACAGCTTAGCTCTCTTAAAGATTCTACCTTGTAGTGAGGCACCTCTGTTCTGCTCATTTAATTGGTCAAAGAAAGTCACATGACCATACTTCAGGGATGAATAATCTTCCCACAAACTCAAAGAGACTTCAAGTTTAATCCCAGTTCTTCCGCTGAGTAGGTGGCTGTGTGACTCTGGGTAAACTGCATATCCTTTCTGAGCATCATCTGTAGTTTTCTCATCTGCAAATGTGGTGATGCCTTCAGTAGAGGCTTGAAGATTAAAATGAATCAGTGCAATCTCCTAGCATAGTCCTTGGCACATATTAAGATCTCAGTGAGGGTTGTTATTTCAATTTTACTCTCCATAGAAAATTAGGACCAGTTTTCCCGGTGTTTTCTCTTTGCTGTTGAATAAAACTACCAGCAGTTAAGATGCTAGTGGCAAAAAAAGGCTATCTTAACATGTCATTGATTTCTCTGCAATCTTTTAGTGCCTTCATGCTTGGTACTTCTTACTCACAGAAGTAAAATATAATGTCTTTGTAAAACGATGTTGGGCATTAAATCTTTAAATGTCATTTTAGCACATTAAGGAGTTAGAGTAAGGCAATTCTTGAAATCACAGGCAATTCTTGGAATCGCAAGGATGGGTGAGTGTAATGGTTAGCGTCAGGGCTCTGAGTAAGAATGGCAAGGCTTCCAGTGCTGGCTGTGTGACCTTGGCCATGTCAATTTACCTGCAAGTGTCTCAACTTCTTCACCTTTAGTTGTGGGTAGGAGAAATATCTTCCTCACTCCATTTATGTAAGAATTACATAAATGGTCTTGCATATACAAGGTCTTGAATATGGCTAGAGTTCAATAAATGGTGACTTTCACTATCATACAATCACCAACACCACAGCATTATCATCTAAGCATCATCACTATCACTTTTATCATTACCACCATTATCATCTTTATAATAATCACCTTCGTCATCATCATCACCATCATCACCATTACCATAACCTTCATTATGATCATCACCACTTTCACCATCATCACCATCACCTCCATCATCATCACCTACAACATAATCATCACTACCATCACCTTCGTTATCATCATCATCACCATTACCATCAATTTCATTACCTTTATCATCACCTTCATCATTATCACCTTCATCGTCACCATTACCATCAGCATCATCACCCTAATTACCTTCATTACCACCACCATCAACAGTCCCCTTATCACCATTACCAACACCTTCATTGTCACCCTTATCACTGTCATCACAACCTTTATCATCACTACCTTCAGCATCATCACCTTCACCATCATCACCACCTTCATTATCTTCACATTACTTTCATCATCACTATCATCACCATCACCATGACCCATCATCACCTTCACCTTCATCAACATCACCATCATCATGATCATCTTTATCATCATCATTACCGTCCCTTTCACCACTGTTAGTTTTATTATCTTTATCAACATCATCATCGTCACTACCATAGCTTCGTTATCACCTTCCCCATCAATTTCATCACCTTCAGCATTATCACCTTCAGCATCACCATCATCACCATTACCATTATCTTCCTCCTCATCGCCATCATCTTAGCTTCCTTATCACCACCAGTATCATCAACAGTCGCCGTCATCACCATCATCAATTATCATCTATTGAGTCCTAGTCTCTGACATTTAATATACACCTTTTTACAACGTTTAAATAAAATGAATCAACAAGAGCATGGCCAAGATTATATGGAAAACTAGAAAGAAGGTAGGGCTTGGTATCTTTCTTTAGCCTTGCATGTTAGGATCCTTTCTCCTAAACCAAGCTCTGGATGTAACACGGACCTCTCTACTCAAATTTCCAGGTGCGAATGGAATACAAAAAATGGTTTAGTGGGATGCAGAAAGGGGTAGAAACTGAAAGCACTGAGATGTCTCGCTCTACTACCCAAACCAAGATGGTAAGATTACCTCCTTCTGAGTGCCTTACTGGAACCCAACATCTCATGCCTCTTGAAGCTTCCTGGTTCCTTGATCTGGATAAAAAAAAGGAGAGAGAGAAATTCCATTAGATTCCTGTATTACGCAGCTGAAGTTTCTGGGTTTTGAGACTAAAACCAGAACCTTTCTTTCTTTCCTTCCTTCCTTCCCTCTCTCTCCCTCCCTCCCTCCCTCCTTCCCTTCCCTCTTTTCCTCCCTTTTTTCTTCCTTCCTTTTTCTCCCTTTCTTCTTGTCTCTCTCAGTATCTTTCTCTCCCTCATTCCTAGTTTCCCCCTCCTGCCTTACATTTTCTTTCTCACTGTCTTTTTCACTCTTTTTCTCTCCCTTCCTCCTTCTCTGTTTCATTCTTTCTATCCCTCTCTCCTCTTCCTCTCTTTTCATTTCTTCCTTCAACAAACATCCAAAGGATATTTAACAAAAAATAATTTTTAAAATTTATTAACAACATTCATTTAACAAATATTTATTGTCTGCTCTGGGCCAGGCACTGTTCAGCTGCTAGAGAACCATTAGTGGAAACACTGACAGTCATCCTTGACTTCACAGAGCTAACATTCTAGTTGGGTGCAGGGAATGACAACCAAAAGTGAATTTTATTGTTTGTTAGAAAGTCATAAATGTTAGAAAGAAAAAATAGAGCAATGGAGAGCAGCCAGGAGTGAAAGGGTGGAAGAATTCCAGTTTTAAATAAAGTGACTACAAGAAGCTGGCACTTGAATGAAAATTGAAGGCTATGTATGATAAAAATGACTTTGGCCAGGCGCAGTGGCTCACGCCTGTAATCCCAGCACTTTGGGAGGCTGAGGCAGGCAGATCACGAGGTCAGGAGTTCAAGACCAGCCTGGCCAACATGGTAAAACCTCATCTCTACTAGTCTCTACTAAAAATACAAAAATTAGCCTGGTGTGGTGGCATGCACCTATAGTCCCAGCTACTGTGGAGGCTGAGGCAGGAAAATTGCTTGAACCCAGGAGGCGGAGGTTTTAGTGAGCTGAAATGGTGCTATTACATGCCAACCTGGGAGAGAGAGTAAGGTCTCAAACAAACAACAAAAAGAACCGCTCTGGTTTGTGAAATTGTCTAGATTTGGAGGACTAGGAAGGGAGTCTAAGTACTTTGGTCAGAAACCGCAGATTCCTGTGTGCTGTGACTCGTGAAACTGGGTTTGTCCCTGCGGCAGCCTGAATGATGAGCCCACAGAGCTGTATCAATAGATATGAGCTTTATTTGGGGATAGAGAGCTTCTCAGCCAGGGTAGCACCTCTCATCGTGAGGAGTAAATGATGTCAAATAAGTTAAGCACTTGAAAGGCTGCCTGGCAGCACAGGAAGCCCCTGTAAATGTTTGTGAAAAGATAAAATGACCATTATAGATGGTGGAGGTTTTTTTTTGTTTTGACGGAGTCTCACTCTTTCGCCAGGCTGGAGTGCAGTAGCACAAATCTCGGCTCACTGCAACCCCCGCCTCCCGGGTTCAAGCAATTCTTTTGCCTTAGCCTCCCGAGTAAATGGGACTATAGGCACATGCCACCATGCCCAGCTAATTTTTGTATTTTTAGTAGAGATGGGGTTTCACCATGTTGGCCAGGCTGGTCTCAGTCTCTTGACCTTGTGATCCGCCCACCTTGGCCTCCCAAAGTGCTGGGATTACAGGCGTGAGGATTGTGGAGTTTTTCTGGAGAAGAGTGGGAAGTTGTAAAGTCAGATACTGAGCTTCAGACCTTACAGAAATCCTAGCTTGTCATCTCTGGGCGAGTTAGACGTTTTAGTTAATTTCTGAGGTATTACAATCTCGTTCACCTTTTCTCCATATTCTCTTCCCCCTAAGTAGGAAGAAGTGGAGAAGTCCTCAGAATTCTTTCGTAAAGGAGACACTCCATCATCAGCTGCAGATTCAGCCAAGCAACTGCAGACACAGGTTCATCTCGTCTCTGCTACTTGGCTGAAAACAAACTGACCTGTTTATCCACAGCACCCCTGGGTCGCATGCAGACCGGACAAATGCCACTATTTCTAGCTTTCCTGTGAAAAGTCCAGGCTCATTCACCTATATTGGCTTTTTATCTTCATTGAACAGGACATCCGGGAGAATTCTTAGATCCAGAATCCAATAGTGTGGCTGTGCAATAAAGTGTCTGAAGGATGTATTTTATTGTTTTTATTTTTATTTTTTTCTCGAGAAGGAGTCTTGCACTGCTGCCTGGGCTGGAGTGCAGTGGTGCTATCTTGGCTTACTGCAACCTCCACTTTCTTTCCCTCCTTCCTTCTCTCCTTCCTTTTTTCCTTCCTTCCCTCCCTCCCTCCTTTCATCCTTCTTTCCTCCCTTCCCTCTCTACCGCCTCCTCCCTTCCTCCCTCCCTCCTTCCCTCCCAAATGATCCTCCTGCCTCAGCCTCCCAAGTAGCTGTGATTACAGGTGCCCACAACCATGCTGGCTAATTTTTTGTATTTTTAGTAGAGACAGGATTTCACGATGTTGGCCAGGCTTGTCTCCAACTCCTGACCTCGTGATCTGCCCACCTCGGCCTCCCAAAGTGCTGGGATTACAGGCATGAGCCACCGCGCCTGCCCAAAGGATACATTTTAAAGATGGCAGGTGGGAGAGGTGGATTTTCTTCCTGCAGCTATTACCACCTTGCCAGAAACTCTAACTGGCATCTGGATTCAGCTCATAGTTCCCTTTATGGCCTCTCTGCTGTATTTTATGCTCCCAAAGACCTTACATCATCATTCCACATTCACATAATTCAACAACTTCCATATGGATCAATATTAAAGAGGGCGCTGCATTTCACAATACAAAAGCACATTATCATCCCAGCTTAGGGGTGCATCGTCCCTGCACAGGCTCTTTTGTCCAAGACACTGACATTTTCCCTGATTTTCTTTGCCTGAGACTTTTTATTTCTTGAGACAGAGTTTTGCTCTTGTTATCCAAGCTGGAGTGCAGTGGTGCAATCTCAGCTCACTGCAACCTCCGCCTCCTGGTTCAAGGATTCTCCTGCCTCAGCCTCCCAAGTAGGTGGGATTACAGGCACTCCCCACCACACCCAGCTAATGCTTTGTATTTTTAGTATAGACAGGGTTTCACCATGTTGGCCAGGCTGGTCTCGAACTCCTGACCTCAGGTGATCCACCTGCCTCGGCCTCCCAAAGTGCTGGGATTACAGATGTGAGACACCGAACCGAGCCTTCCTGAGACTTTTCGAACCTCCATGTACACATGAGTTAAAGAACATTCTGTTTTCTTAGCGTCCTCTTGAACGTGTCCCAGTACAAATGTCCAGAAACAAAACCATTGGTCATTTGGCCTCATTGTTTCGTTTTACCGTTTCTAATTACTTTTACAAAGTTACTGGTTTTGAGGTATATTTTTCATCACACTAATAAATGTGTGGATGACTGTTATGAGACAATAGCCCCAAAAAAGGTTTTAAATGCTAATAATTGTCAGTGTTAAATAGGCAAGGGTCACCATCATTTATTAGAAAAAATTTCAAGCCAGGCGCCATGGCTCATGCCTGTAATCTCAGAACTTTGGGAGGCTGAGGTAGGAGGATTGCTTGAAGCCAGGAGTTTGAGACACCCTGGACAATGTAGTGAGACTCCATATCTACAAAAAAATTTACTCAATTAGCTAGGCATGGTGGTGCATTCCTGCAATCCCCTCTACACAGGAGGCAAAGGCAGAAGGATTGCTTGCTTGAGCCCAGGAATTCGAGGCTGTAGTGAGCTATGATTGTATGACTGCACTCCAGCCTGGGAGGCAGTGATACTCTGTCTCAAAAAAATGAAAGACAGAAAGACAGAGAGAAGGAGAGAAGAGAGAGGAGAGGGAGGGAGGGAGGGGGAGAGGGAGGGAGGGAGGGAGGGAAGGAAGGGAAAGAGAGGACTTTTCTGCTTAGTCAGCGCAAAAGTCTCCTCCATATAATGTAAACAGAGTAGTGCACATCCACTGCATCTGCTGGCTTTGAAGTTTGTGATTCTTTTTGAAAAGGGAAAATGTAGGGATATTCACATGGTTACAAAATGTGTGTATGCCACACAACTTTGTATTTTGCATAATTTCAAATGTATGTGAATAAAAGCTGCAATAAAAGCAGTCTTCCTGGGCAGCGGACAAATCCTTGTGCCGAATTCCTACTCACATTGCTGTTGCTCTCTGGTCAATGATGGTTGCAGAAAGACAGAATAAATAAGCCACGTAATCTAGGTGCTGCAGGTTTGAATTCTGGCTCTGCTACTGACCCTTTTTCCTCCCTTCCAACTTGAAGGCTGCTTTTTTTCTTTCCTGCCTCTTCCATTCTTTGGCATTTTTTTTTTTTTTTTGAGACAGAGTCTCACTCTGTCACCCAGGCTGGAGTGCAGTGGCGTGATCTCAGCTCACTGCAACCTCTGCCTCCCAGGTTCAAGCGATTCTTCCACCTCGGCCTCCTAACTGGGGCTACAGGAGAGAGGAGAAAGGAGAGAGAGGGGGGAGGGGAGAGGGGGGAGGGGGAGACAGGAGAGGGGAGAGAGAAGGAGAGGGAGGGAGGGAAGAAAGAGAGAGAAGGGAGGGGGAGGGGGAAAGGGGAGGGGGAGGGGGAGAGGGGAGAGGAGAGAAGGAGAAGGAGGGAGGGAGGAGGAGAGAAGGAGAGGGAGGGAGGGAGGGAGGGGGAGAAAAGGAGAAGGAGGCAGAAAGGGGGAGAGGGAGGGAGGGAGGGAGTGGCCTCCTAACTGGGACTACAGGAGAGAGGAGAGGAAAAAGAGGAGAGAGAGGAGAGGAGAGAGAGGGGAGAGGCGAGAGAAGGGAGAGGGGAAAGAGGGGAGAGGGGAGAGGCGAGAGAGGGGAGAGGTCAGAGAGAGGAGAGGTGAGAGAGGTGAGAGAGGGGAGAGGGGAGAGGACAGAAGGAGAGGAGAGACGGGGAGAGGTCAGAGAGAGGAGAGGTGAGAGAGGGGAGAGGGGAGAGGGGAGAGGAGAGAAAGAGAGGAGAGAGGGGGAGAGGGAGGGAGGGGAGAGGAGAGAAGGAAAGGAAGGGAGGGAGGGGGAGAGGGAGA